AAAATTTTTTGAAAACCACTTCCAAAGGGACTTTCGCCATGTAAAATCTATTAAAAAGTTTTTTTTAAAAAAAATTAAAAAAAAAAAAAAAAAAAAAAAAAAAGAGTCACGCAGGGTGTTTACCGTGGGCATGACTGCGGACAAACACACTTGGGTGTGAGAATTCCCTTTTCCTGAACTACTTGGCACCAAGATCCAACGGGACTGTGGCATCTGAGCAGCTCACAAAGCTTTTCTGAAATAGTAAACAAGGTATAAATTATTATTTGCGCACCTTTTTTTCATTTTAAACAAGTCAGCTATTTTTTATAAAATACAAGGCAGCTGAGCTTTGGAAGCTGGGATCTTGAGGTGATCCCCTCTTGAGCGAAGACGTGAGTAAACTCTGTTGAGATTGTGTTGAAATGAAAAGAGCCGTCAGGGAAAGAATGAACAGCACACGCAGCATTATTTCCACGTCTTTTTTCCAAACACCAAAAATACACCAAAGATACCAACACTTTCCTGAACAGTAGTTTGTGCCGATAATCTGACTGAAAATGACCCAATGGACTGAACAATTTTAAGTAAGCGTAAGTATGAAACTTGGAGATATCCTTTAAACTTTTATCATTACACACACAAAGAAAGGGTATTTGTCTAACCCTAACCTTGACTATAGATATTTTTAATGTCTGCTTGTCATTTTTTTTTCTTTTTAAGTATTTCACTTTTTTTTTTGTCCTCTACATGGGATAAGTAAAGTGGTCATCTTTTCCGATTCTACATGTTTATTACATGAATACCAGGTAGTGGGAAAAATATGCTTGCTTATTCTTAGCCTTAGATGACTTTTTCATGCAGACACATACGGCTTTCCTTTGCTGTTGGATCTTACCGGGGTCCACTCTACCAATGTATGGTGTCAGCCTCTCTTCAGCTTCTCTCTGTCTGCGCAGAGCTCTGCCTCCCTGCGCCAAAATGACACGCATATTCTGAAAGTTATCTGCCAAGCTCAGCACAGAAAGCTAAAGGATCATGGGTGTTTATTTTATTTCAGAGGCGTCAGTGAATTACCATTTTAGTCCAAAATTATAATCTAAGTCACTTACAGGTTTGCAAACATCTAAAAAAAAAAAAATTCAAAACCACAGTGAAAATAATATTCTATCTCCACGAGACGCATTTGAAGACTCTTTGTAGTTTACGCCAGCTCCACATCTGCCCCCCAAAAGTTTCCCAGATTACATGCAGGTGGCCAAGTGCTTGAGCCAGGCTCCCATAACTCGTATATAATTTTTTTTTATTTTAAAACTTATTACCAGGCAATTTGATAGCTGCAGCAACAAATAGATGATCTAAAGAATCTTCTATCTGTAATTGTGTCTGAAATCGATGGCATACAGAGGTGACAAAAGCAACATAGCATTTATTTTTAACTATAACGTGTAGCAAAGTGAATCTTTTTGTGGATAATCATACTTAGAAAAACTTACCATGGCTGCGTATGGGTAAATAAGGAGAAAGAAGGCAAGCATCAAGTTCAGCTTCATGACTGAGACATCCACTGCAGTAAAAAGTGGCAAATAAGGAAGTTTGGTGAGGTTAACAGATGATGGTTTCTCCCTTCTTTTGCTGTGATTTGCTTACTATCAATTCAAGCTGATAACACAGGTTGTGCCTGCAGTAGGAAACAAGCAGGCACACTGAGGATCCAGAAGACCACAAAACGTAATTTTAAGGAGTAAGGAGAGCATTGCTTCACAGTTTTTTATATATATAGTCAAACCGTTGAATTTCTTTCTTATTACACTATTTTGATGATAGAGAAGTGAAGAAACTTACCAGGAATCCCCGTTCCACCTTTCCTTTGCTGCTCTTCTTCTTCACCTTGTCTCCAGATATCTCTTGTCTCTCCTCCTCCTTTCAGGCTGTGTTGAAACTTTTGTCTTTCTTCTGTTTGATCCATCAACATACAGACGTTTTCACATCTTTGCTCTATATAATTTTTTTTCTGCTTTGGCGTGTGTTTGCTCCCTTTCCAGAGGGGGGAAGTGAGGAGAACGTTTTTGTGAGAGGTAGATGGCATTTATTGCAGTTGGGACTGGTCCACAGTGTGATTTATGAATACACTTCTTTTTGCTCTATTGTTTTTTCTCTCTTTTTTTACGCTAAGACCTTTAATATATCCCAGACAGACAAAAGCATGAAACATGGCACTAAAAGGAAGGAGTGTGAGAAGAAGGATACTGAGAATCTGAGCTATGACTGGCAAAAAAACAAAACAAAACTACAATACTGCCCTCTTGTGATTTCATTTATGAATAACAGCTTAACGATAAGCAGGAGAAATCTAAAGTCAACATTTCTGTCAGTAGTTTTACTTTCATTCTGTTCTGTGAGTTATTTTGGCTGCTGGCTTTTAGAACCATAACATAGTGCTCTTAGAATATTTTATAAAATATTTTGGAAACATTCTCTCTGAGTAAAGTTGGCTTGTGGACAGAAAGCTCTGAATATTAAATTGTTGATATATAGTTTTTTGTTTGTCTTTTATTGTAGCAATCTGACAGAATTGACTTTGGAATAAAAATAAAAAAAATAAAAATTATCTATGAAAGAATAAGTACAAAAGTTAAATTAAATTATTGTTTAATTAAAATAAATAAATAAATAAATAAATAAACAAATAAAATTTACCTATAAATTAGAACGAAATCAATCGTGAGGTTGACTTTGCAGCAACAGCAACAAAGTTAAAAATAAAATAAAACAAAACATATCAAGATAAAATGTATGTCCAAAACATGATACGTTTACTGTCACGTTAGGAATGTGGTATTTATTTGGACCTAGAAGCCTGTCATGAAAAAACGTAAAGACAAACTGTGGCCCATTAGCCGCCGTCAACTGTCAGATTAGCATACCCAGGCTGACAGCTCCAAGCTCCGCCCAGCAGAGCGAAGAGGAGGGCGGATGTCGTAATGAGAAACAGCCGCTGCTGCCTGGGGGAGCCCGACGCTGCTGTACTGTGTCGTGTGGGTAGCTTATCAACAAAACGCTGTGTTATTACGTCTGAGTTTACGATCTTGTTTTTACGACCAACTTCTCCTCCTTTGGTCTACTTACCACCACTGTAAGTCCATTTAGCAGCTGTCAGCTGCCAACTAGCGGATCGTAAACATATAGCCGCGTCGTGTTTTTAAAACAATTTGAGGGAAATATTTGATTTAAAAAAAAACAACAACAAAAAAAAACACACAAACTACTTTACAAGAGTAAGCGTTGTAACCAGACTTTCTTTACGACTTCAATGTGCTTGGGTTGATTTGATTGATGGTGACTGCTTGAACTTCTGCTGGCGAGTAACTTCATCACTGCATCCCAGCACGTTTTAAGCGAAGTCAGAGATTAACTTCCGCTGCAGATTTTTCTTTACCACATGCTGTTGACGGGAAAACAACCGGGCTGCTTACTCGCAGTTGGATGGGGAGCCATGCTGGAGGAATAATTAAGGTAAGTCGCCAAGCACACTGTAAATCTGATCTGTACCGGTCAAAGATTTAATTATGTTTTGGTTGTGTTAGCTCGATACCGAGTTCATCACTGTGTTCATCCTCCTGGTTGTCCAATGAGGCTGATGGGTTTTCTCTTGCATCGTCACCCCCTACAGTCATAGCATTAAGTCATTGTTCCATGAATGAGGTCGGCCAAGCCTTTAGAAGCATGAGAAATAATTTTTATTTCTGCAAATCTCAAACAGGAGGGATGTTAAAAGCTTAGTCTGCTTCAAGGAAACTTCTATTCACATTTGCATACTGATAAATTACACGAAGTTAGACTGCTAATTAGAGTTTAATGGCAGTTGTTTTTTTAGGGCTATCGGAGTAAATGGGGGTGAATGCACCTGCTCAGATTAATATTTGAACAAAAAATCTAAAATTATGCTTTCCCTTGTGTTAGCCTTTGCTTTTTTCAGGGCTTTGTACATACTGCCTGGGCATATGTCACAGGACTCAAGGGCGAGTGATGATGACTCACGCAGTCATAAAGTTTCAGCAGACAGACGTTAAATTTTAGCCAGGGTTTTTAATACCATATGATCGTATTTTTACGCCACAGCTGAAGTTGTTGTCAGTCAAGCCTGTTGCCATATAGCGTCTGAGCGTGCATGTGCGCTCCATTTAAAGCGGCAGCATGTACAGACCAGACGGTGCAAAGCGCCCACTGGCTTTCAGTACAGTCCAACTAAGTGAGATGGACACCGGTGGTTTCTCCCGGATTAGGGCAGCTGCACATGCTCCTACATGCGAACCCATGTGTGTTTTCCAAAGGGACCTGTCGGCAAAAAGCCGTGGTGCACCACCTTGGGCCGAGCGTGTGTTTACGGGCTAATTGCACCAGCAGCAGCTGAGCGTCCACAATGACTTAAAAAGACCACCCAAATTCAGAATGCGCGCCTAACTTTTCTTTACTGCGTGTTTCCCCCCTCACAGTCCTCATGTCTGCTATGTGGACCACGTGTGAAATCACACACGTCTCATTACTCTGTGCATTGCAGTCATTCCAAGACAGCATGGTGCCCAGGAGGGGCTCCCCTCAGGCTGATGGGAGGTTTAAATGTGCTTTCATCATGCTCAGAGGGGCCTTTTTGGCAGCAGGGAGACATGTGAAGTCATTTGCTTTGACAGCGCCAGAAGTTCAACAGAGACTTAGACTCACCACATAGCAAGGTGGAGGTCAAGCAGCATCCCAGACAATTGGCTACATGCAAACATCCGTTTAAAAATTATTTTTTACTTGCTCCATGTATGTCCATGGCTCTCTAATCTTAATTGGTGTTTAGATAGCACAATCTTGACAAATGGCACATTTGATAGCGCAGAGGACATCCGTCTTTGCACGTTCGGTCATTTTGTTACCTTTCATCTGCTGCGGTGTTGTCGACTTGAACCACTTGACTTTGACTTTTCTTTTATCCTCCTTGCCCTGCCCGGCCGCTGCATGTGGCCCATCATTAGAGCTATACTTAGCCACGCTTATCAGCAATGTCTTTCACTCGGTAAGCCCACAGATGTTTAAAGCCTTGGAATAGCTCCCTACACTCAAGAGTGAAACACAGACACAAGGTCTGAAAGTGACAGACATTTGAAACAAGTGTATTCTGTAAAGATTAGGAAATTCCCTTCTAATAATAATAAAAAAAAAATTCCACGTAACAGATGGCCAATGTTTTACACTGAAACTGTTTGACAAAGTGAAGCGAGGGCTTAGGTTTTATATTTACAGTCATCTCCGAAGAGTAAATGTTTGTTTAGAATAAAACATGTTCTGTAGGTTAAGTCAACGTAAATGTGTGTCATTCTGTTACATACTTATGAGCTTTATTATTATGTCCAACATTGCCTCATCTTGCCGTTCTCTTAGCATCAAGCATGATAAGCTCTCTTTCGTTTCTTTAGCTTGGAGGGGAACCCTTAGAGGTTTGTATCTTTAAGTCTTATCGTGTAATCCTTGAAAGCTTTGCGTCATGTGATATGGTCTTTACATCCACCAGGTCACAAACTGAACAAGAACAAAAGACTGGGTTCTGTTACGAGACAGAAAGATTGCTGAAAGACTGTTGTGCTTGTTCATCTGGACCCAGCCGAGTCATTCCAAGTCAAAATAGGGGATTTGCTTTAATGCGAAGCATCAGACGGAAATATCAGTGTTATGAACCGACATGTTACTGGGTGACTCTAGTTCCTGCCATAAACTACTGCTCTCATTTCACATAATGTCTTAGCGCTGAGAATTTATCCCTTTATTCCCACTAGTATTTGTAGAATGCGTGTGTTGATTAGAATATATTTGAACAATTTATGACCGTGCCACCGTAGTTTTGAAGGTATTGCTTGGCTGTGATTTTAAAGGACACAAAGTGCAGCAACATTTCATAATATTCCTGTTGTCAAGGGCAAAAACAAAAGTTCCTCCCAAATCTTTTCAGCCACGAGCACCTGCGTCATTTTGATATTCAAATAATGAGTTTGCATATAAAATGAACTACAACTTCAACTTTCAGTGGTGCCTAATTGATTTTAATGTTTTGTTTGAATTGTTCTTTAAACAACAAATAGAAGGTACATCAAAAATGCTACACTTTTTGATACCATCCGATCCACTTCAATGATCTCTGACATAGTAGTTTTGATGCTAAAATAACTAAATAAAAATGTATTAGTAGGATGGGTCTTGATATCGCGCTTGCTCTCCTTCAGCCAAAAACCGTTGGCATCCAAAGAAAAATAGCTGCAGCTGTGAAACGTGTTTGGTATGAAATATCATCCGTAGATTCAGTGGAAAACAAGGAGCCACAGGAAAATGGAACCAAAAGGAAGTTGGCCTAATTGTATTGTATTCTATTTACTCACACAGGATATGTCTGCTGGGGATCTCACACAAAGCACCACTCAGACTGTTATTTTTATTGACTTTGCTAAATCTGGTTTTATTGGAAACACTGCGTCTTGTAAATATGGGAAAAAGGATAAGGTAGAATAATAATAAAAAAAACACGGTAACACTTTATTTGAAGGGGGTTGAATAAGACTGACATGACACTTTCATAAACATGACATAACGCATGAACATGAATAAGCCTTCATGAATATTTATGACTGTTGTCATAAAGCGTCATTCGGTAAATTATGACACTTTTAATACAAAGTTGACATTATTCAAAATGTCTTTGTTATGACAACTTGACATTAACTAAGAAATCATTACTGTTTAAACTTTACCTTTAATAACATGAAGTTACCTAATTTTTAAAGTGCAATCAGTAATACTTTTATAACAAATTTATACCAGTAATTATTTTTTGGTTAATGTCAAGTTGTCATAACAAAGACATTTTGAATAATGTCAACTTTGTATTAAATGACGCTTTATGACAACAGTCATAAATATTCATGAAGGCTTTTTCATGTTCATGACAGGAGTTTATGACAGTGTCATGTCAGTCTTATTCAACCCCCTTCAAATAAAGTGTTACCAAAAACACACTACAAGCAAGAGAGCGGTCATTTTTATTCTTTTTGACAGATTCTGGCATTTTGCATCCTGAGGTAATGACACAGTCATAGGTTAAGATATAAAATTAAGCGCTTTTAAAACATTGGAGTTATGAGTTATAAAACAAATGCCTACAAAAAGTTTTGCATAGTGACTAAACAACTGCAAAAGCAGATTGTCATTCAAAGTTCTATGAAAAATTACTACCGATTACTACTTGATATAAAACCAAGGTCCACCTTAAAAAATCTGAATATTGTCTAAAAGTTCAATATTTCTTGCCAGTCATCTCAGAAACTCGTATACATAGTGAAATATTCCAATCCTTTGCCTTTTTTGCAATTTTCATGATTATGGCTAGCGGATAACAAAACCACCAAATTAAGTGTCTCAGAAAAATAGAATGCCGTGAAAAAGATAATTATTGGAAACTCATTATGTGACACCCTAATCAGCTAATTAACTCGAAACACCTGCAAAGGTTTCCTGCCACTGTGGGTCAGTAGGCAGGAAGACTACTGACGTGTCATTGATCATCTCCACAAGGAGGTCACAAAAGGTCAGCGCTGGAGAAGCAGGCTTTTCAGAGTTCTGCATCCAAGCATATCAGAGAATTGAGAAAAAAGAAGAAGTGTGGCACGAAAAGATGAGATAAGATAAAGATAAGAAAGCACCATCATGTCTAAATTCAAAATGTAGTTGGTAAATCACTCTCTGTACTTATGAGAACATTGATTTAAATGGTTAGGATTTAGGAAGGGAAACATATTAAGTACATGAAACTGTTCCTGAGAACCTTACACAATTTCTGATAGAACATAAAGCTGCTCTCAGGCTTCAGACAAAAAGCTCTATGTTAAGCTCAATAAAAAAACTGTTTCATTACAGAAAAGAATCCCTTTGATCGTTTAAATCGCATATCTTCCATTTTCTTTTCATTTCTGAGTCCCGCGCATTTTCCGCGTACCAGGAAGATGTTGATGTTTCACCCCTGAACTTGACTCTGTTTGTCATTTAATAACGGGTCACGATTGGCATAGGGTGCACGGTAAAGTGTCTCTTTCGCACCTAAATGCGAGGAGCTGAAGTATTGGTGACGCTGGGAGTCTCGTGATGATGCCGTTGGGGGAGACTTGACATCTGAGCTTCTAATTAGATTTGCAGAAGGTCTGCCAAGACTTTCAGTTCTCATCATCCTACACCTCGGGAAGAGCTCAGGGGAGGACTTTTAATGGATGAGTCGGGGCCGATTCTGAAAACTTCTGAACTGCAGTGTGACTCATACCTGTGACCAGGTATAGCTGGGGCTTGACATTTCAAGGCAAGAGTCATACCACGTACACACAAAAACAACAACTTTGCAGTGCCACTGTAGCTATGCAGATTCAAAACGGCTGGTCTCGACTGAGTCATTTAGCTAAAGCGTTAAATGAAACTCTTAAGTCAAATATAATATA